CTACATCTATTTGTTCAAGATGGAATGAAAGTATGAACGAGTTTATGAAATGTTTTAATTAAACTTTCATTCTACTACAAGAAATATCTTCTAATTTAGATTGGATTAACCTATTTATGACCGAAAATCCTTACTTAGAATGACAGTCCAATTAAAATATTTCATGAACTCGTCCACACTTTCATTCCATCTCTAGCATGCAGTTCAAATAAGAAGGGATAACCCATTGTTGGAAGGAAAGTTTTTAAGTAAGACGAAAAATTTTAAAATTAGAATGACATTTTTTAAGATGGAATGAAAATTTTAAATTTAGAATGTAATTTCACTATAGAATGATTATTTAATTCTAGAATTTTTTTCCGTTGTAGACCCGGTCCTCCACCCAATTGCTGCGTGGGTTGATGGGAGTTCGACCGTGATTGAGGTTGGGGCTGTATCCTGGGTTGTGGATGCGGCGGTAAGCCTTGTGTCAGTGACGTGGGTCGAGGCCCCGGGTGTTGCGGATGGGAGGTGGCACTACGAGGTGGCCACTTTGGGTCTGGGTTCTGGCTGCTGCTGACTCCTTGGTGAAATGGATTGGGGGGTTTATTCCCTCCTTGTGTCGAGGAAGATGCTCCTCGAGTCGTGTGATGTTGGGGGTGGTGTGGACAGGAGGGGTCATTTTTCGTGTGGTAAAACCATCGACATTTCTTGCACCAATCAGTGGCTTGGGACACGAACTCGAGTCTAAAGAGTTCTCCATCCTTTGTGAACTCCAAGACGTCTTTCCACATCTGTCTGGCTTCCGGAGCCAGATCCATTTTTATGTTCTTTAACTTTGGAAAATGATTATCCTTTTGGGCAGGGTAAACTTTGAGAATTTTTGCCATGGAGTTTTCCACCGCCCAGTGCAAGTGAAACATCGCTCGGAGGGAAACCCTAATCGCCATTACCCAAAACTTTCCAGCGACCTCCTGGGCTTTTAGATCTTCGAGTTCCTTCTTTGTTGCCCACTTCCGGAAAACAACCGAATAAACCGTGTAAATCTCATCGAACTTAATTTTGTCCGACCCTTTCTGAATCATGAACTCGGCTATCTCCTTGGTGGTGGCTACGTAGGAAAAAACACCTCCTCCTTCATTTTTCGTCCTTCCTCTTTTCAAGGATGGATTGACCGTCGGATTAGAGCACCACCCATCTTCATAAATCCGGATGAGCATTTCTTTAATCTTATTAGGTAATGATCTGGCTTCATTTTGGAATGCCACGACTACCGTCCGCTCCTTAGGCCATTTAACCACCGCATCATCCAAATCATAATTCAATGTAATCTTTGCAGTCCGACCCTCAATTGTGACCGTCCCGTGATCGAGTCCTACCGGAAGGACCCCATCCTCAAAACAAGCAGCAATCAACGTTCGAACCCTATCCGCTTCTGATTCTTCCAAAGCTGCCATCTGCGTCCTTGACCAACTTTGTACTACCAAAACGCCCTACAACCTTAATAAACCTAATCATACTAACAGTCAGGGAATAATATCACGGTTACGTCCTATAGCAGCAGTTCAAAGTTTAAGCTATAATATAATGACTGCGATAGCACCAGGTCATGACCAAGGACAAGCATACACGCATTTAGGGGGGTGCTATTATACCTTCCTCCCTGTTGGAGGTGTTGTCATCTTGGTGTCATCGATAGTCCCAATGGGTGTCCTGAGCTCCTGTAGTTGTCTTTTCGAGGCTGTCCCATACGTTGATGTCGAATACGATGGGACTCTCCGCCTTGTGTGTCCTGTTCCACCGATAAATCTTCAAATAGTGGCTAACGCGTCATCCTCTCGACGATTGCTCCTCGCTCGATTCGAGTATGCTCTTACTTCATCCCAGGCGGCGCCCTTGGGCGCCTACCAAATCACATTCTGCACATAGTCACGGACACCTAGTCTGGGGATCATTCATCAGCCCCTATACCCCCCAACACTCCATAGCGATGGTTGTCGTCAACAACTTGACGAAGGGTGGAAGCCGACACGCCGTTCCACTACGGGCGTGGAGCGGCGACGGAACGATGCCGGCGGATCTACTACCGGCGGCGTCAGAACGGAGCGCTCCGTTGCGCCCGTAATTGCGCCCCCAACCTCCCAGGGCCCTATCCGTTCCAGGCGATTCAAACTCCCAGGCCGACAAGGGATTTTGCGGTCACCTCTGGAGCATGGTCCCACTAGCAACGGGGATTGGATTAAGATCCTGAATCTGGGCGTGTTTTAGGCAGAGATGCAGAAAAGGAGTTCAATCTCGAATTTCTGCACTTTTCCCGGAACACATCTAGATTCAGGCGTTCAATCCAATCGATGTTGCTAGTGGGACCTCGCCCCCCGAGGTGACCCCCAATGCCGCTTTTTCGTTTTTTGCATTTTCTTCAAAAATTGGCAAAAATCCGTTCACAAAAGTTACTTGCATAATTTGTGGAGGGCCCCCTGTGACCAGCCAAGTACCCCAAATCCCCATCCCCATTTCTCCAGACGGCCGCGACCTTGTCCCATCTGAAAAGGTACAGCAGTCCGACCCAGCATGCCCAACACCTCAAAACGGCCCTTCCCATATCCGCATATTTTGCGGATTTGGGGTCGCCGTGTGAGTATGCCCTCAAGAGTGGTGTGGCGAGGCCCTTTACCTGGGCTGGTTAGTCCGATGATAATACCTCAAGGCAATCGCAAAAAAACAAAACAAAAAAAAAACAAAAAAAAAAACACGCTTTGGATTCCAGCGAACCACAAGGCAGATAACAAGGGAGTGTTTGGCGCATAGGAGGAGTCGTTTGGACGCCGGTTATGTCTCGGTTCAGGGTACCTTGCGGGCGCGAGACTGGTTAAGAGGGGGTTGACGCCCAAGCGAAGCCACGTGTCGTAGGGTCATGACGGTCGGGGCAGAACGGTCGGGTCAGGTCGGGTCAGGTCGGGTCATTTGCCTGATCGCAGCGGTTGCATGGCACGTGATGTAGTCGAGAATCCCTCGTGACGTTACTCCTCTTGACGCTGGCCTGTCCCATCTCCCCACCCCCTTTCGCCTCTCTCTCTCTCTCTCTCTCTCTCTCTCTCTCTCTCTCTCTCTCACACACACACACACACACACACACACACACACACACACACATATATGGGCCTCGCTCCACTGCTCTCGAAATGTGCAAAACGAGAGTGAAGACTCCGCTAAAAAACATGGAAAGATACACCGGCATGGTTTTTGTCTTTTGTGCATGTCGAGAGTAGTGGAGCGAGGCCCTATATCGTCCCCTTGTATCTTTCTTTTTCGGTCGTTTTTGTCTGTGTCTCTGGCTCTCTCTCGACCTTCATCATCGTTTTGTCACGATCTTGTCTTTTTTTTTTTTTTTTTTTTTTTTTTTTTCCGGTCACAATCTTGTTCGTCGCCATCCTGTTTCCTTTTTCCTTCGACCTCCGCGAAATTGCAATCGCGACATCGATCCTGCAGATCTCGATTCTGTGCTTATCTTCCTCCCCCCCCTCCTCTCTCTCTCTCTCTCTCTCTCTCTCTCTCTCTCTCTCTCTCTCGCTGTGTCTGTGGGTGAGTCAAAGCGTCGTCTTGCATGCTACTGCCGGCCTGGTCTGCATCGTCTTCATGAATCGTGTTCTTGTGGAAGAAGAGTGTGGAGGGTTAAGCGTGGTAAACCGGAGTTAACTTTGGGGTTAATAGGAGCGGGTTTAACCCGAGCGGTGTTAACGGGAGCACAAGATTGATATGTGGAGAAGGTAGTGTTGAATCCATAACAAGGAGGAGGAGGCGGGGGAGAAGGAGGAGGAGGGGGAGGAGAAGGAGAGGAGGAGGAGGAGGAGGAGGAGGAAGAAGAAGAAGAAGAAGAAGAAGAAGAAGAAGAAGAAGAAGAAGAAGAAGAAGAAGAGGTTTGTGGAGATGGAGGTGCGGGAGTTCAGCTGCGGGCGATGTGTGTTAGCGAGCTGCAGCTAAGTGCATTGTCACACCAGGCCACCAGGATTTTAGCCGACTGAATCTGGTCGCAGTTGTCCGTCGGATACGTCTACTAAAGAACGAGTATGCCGTAAGTCGGAAAAAAGGATTACGTGAATATTTCTTACCATCACTGCAGTTTGGTCGGTTCAAGTGAGGGGCTGAATATAGACGGTATTCTGGATTCTCGCATTTGGAAGACGTTAGCCATCCACCACCTGTAATGCAGGTGTGAACACACCGCCCACCATTTCGACTCCTGATTGACACGTGGCACACCTCGCCGCGATTGAAAGGTCCAGATCCCGAGAAGCTGAACGCGGTCTGTATTCTGGACTCTCTCGCATGTAGATGCCAGGAAAATCTTCAGGATAAAAGTTTTTTTTTTTTTTTTTTTTGGGGGGGGGGGGGGGGGGGGGCAGCTGCGCACTGCAGTAGATGCCAGTGTAAACCTTTTTTTTTTTTTTTTTTTGGTCAAGGATTACAAAGTAGAATTATCGCATTTTTGAAAATTTTCCCTCTCTCCCTCCTTTCATACAGAAAGGCGACGGCCCTGAGATATGATCATTGAACTGACCGGCCGCGTGTGATTCAGGACTACTTACTCTTTCATGCGGTTGCATCTGGATTCGAACTTCGGTCTCT